GGGAAAGGCAAAGGGCCTCTTTGCCGGGACACATCTGAAACAAAGCAGGCACTCTGCAGAGCTGCGCCGCACCTCTCTTCGGTACATCGCTTTAGATCAATGATAGCCAGTTACTGTCTTATAGCTGCTCACACACAGCTGCTTGCCCGTGAGAGGAGGAGCATAGGTGCCTGCGAGCGATGTTTTGACAAAGGCTGTGCCTAGTGCTGGCAGCTACCGGCACCGCCAGTGGATTATCCCCACTCGCGGATACCCCCGGCATCACTCAGCCAAAGGGGACCTGAAATTGGCCTTAACAAGAAGGCTGCCGGGATGTGAATTTGTCTGAGAAAGAAAGGAGGAGAGAAAAAGAGAGCAAGGGGTAGAGTAATGCAGCAGAACCTAAATACAAATACATCTCTAGAAGGCCAGCAGGCTTCGAGGTGCGGGAGCAGTGGTCAAGTTTTACATCGCTGGTAATGAAGCATCCTGCCCCGGGAATGCTGGGATTGCCATGGGATTGGGGTGACAGCAGATAACCCAGCCATCGCGCGGGACCCGTTTGGACCAGGCTCCGCTGACCCGTGAAATAATTTACATGCTGAGACGGGTTGAAGACAAACTCCACATCTGGGAAATGTAAGCAATTGCAGAAGTGATGAGGTAATGGATCGGCTTCAGGTCCCCGGCACCCACTGGCACAGCCCAGGGCACGGAGATGCCCGCCTGGCCCTGGCACTCACCACCATGCTGTGTGCCCACAGCTCATTAAACAGGCACAGACCATTTGATTATCCAATGCAAAATGAATTAACCAGAGATTTAATCTCCCTGGAATGCAGAAACCTCCAGGGCTACACCACACTGCTGTACCCGACGTTGCTGAAGCCTTGCAGCTGATTAATAGTTTGAGACATTTCGATAATGCTGTTTTTTAGGATCCTAAATTGCATCTTACCTAAATAGCTGGTGGAATCCTTCCATGAGAATTTGTACGGAAATTGCTCCAATCACTCTCTACGTTTCCAAATAATATTGTAAACTGACTGCTGCACGACTGACTTTCATAAATTAAACAGCCAGCTTCAATATTTTTCTTTGGTTTTTAAGACTGAGATAAAAGTGAGCTGGAGAGGTAAGAAACACTAATGGACTGTGAACATGGATGGTTTACATGCTGCTACTTATTGTCCTGTTCAGCATGACAGACAGTTATTATTTTTACGAAAATCTTTAGAGCCTGAAATAGAGTGAGAGCTGCAAACACAGGATTGTTTCTCCAGCTTCCATGGCTAGTACGAGTCTGGCCACCAAGGCCCCGCAGCCCACGGGGTCCCAGCAGGGACCTCTGTGTAATGGAGCATCTCCTGCCCATGCTTTCCATACCCCGGTTTTCAGCAGAAGAGCTGAAGCCCAAGATCACCCCATCCATCCTTGTCACTCCCAACAGTTCCTATTAGCTGCATTCATCAAGCGAAGCCCAGCCGCACACGCCAGGGAAAGGGCTGGTTTCCCTGGGGAAGCCGCATCTCTCCGGACATGGCTTAGCAGCCCGTGCTCAGTGCGTGCGGTGCCGGTGCCGGCAGGTCGGGTGCCAGGGTCATGGCGGGTTGACTCCAAGCAGCATCAACTGCCTGGCGAGCGTACGCGGGGCCTGACTGGGTTTTAAATGAAAATGCAAATACTCCTCGGGTTTACACTAGTAGCAAAAAGGCACCGCACGGTGGGGAAACACTGCAGCGATTTATCCGCTTTTGATGCTTTTCCTCTTGCTTTCCAGCATCTAAAATGCTCAGGTCCTTCCAGCAAAACGCGTTATCGCTTCTCCTCCTAGGAAGCCAAAACCTGCTTTGCCCACCTCTGGAGACCCTCCCTCTCCCAGCTGCAGCCCACCCCGGCACCAGCCACCGCCGCTGCGTGCCCCAGTGCGTGCGAGGGCAGCAGCCCCTGCTCCCGTGCCACGGGTGCACTGAAATCACACCTCCGTTTCAATTAATCACTTTCTGCAAAAGGAGCCTGGGGACCACAAGGTAATTTCTCCCATGCAACAGGTTTCTGACGGAACAAGCCAAGAGGCCGGTGCTGGTGCTACCGCATCCCACCGGGCTGCTGAGCCGGGGAGGCTGGACCGCTGTCCCCTGTCACTGGTCAAGCTGTGCCACCATGGCTGCACCCCACACCACTGTACCAGCACCCCATCTTCATCATTTGTTCCTTTAACTGTACCCTGATGGCTACCAAAAAACCCCATCCCAAAATCATGGCTAATCTTCTCTTGGCCATACTCAAGCCTCCTCACAAGGCAGGGCACGAGTGCGAGACGGTCCCATCCTGCAGCATCCTCTGCCCATCCATAAATCCCAGACTAAGGGCTGACGTGCCGGCAATAGCTCCCAGGGCTTGGAATAACCCCTGGGAGCCCCAGGCAGCACTGGTGGTGGGTGATGCTGCAGGAGGCAGGACCGCGAGCACACTACAGCCACCGAGCAAACCGCCACTCCTTGCCTCGGCGTCGGAGATGATTTTCCCCAGCCAAAGGCAAAAGCGGGGCCCGATGCAGAACTCGGAAGGCATCTGTAAGCCAAACAGAGTTCTGCAATATGCCATTCACACCAAAGCAAATGACATACAACAATAATTAGTGAAGATTACATAGCAATTAACATGATTACAATTATGCTAGTTGAAATAATTTATACAATAAAAATCCACACATGCATTGCAACACATGACCAGGGATGAAAGTGTGGCTCAGATGCTTTTCCTGGTAGCTCATATATAAAGCCAAGACAACCCCATTTCAGGGATAGAAAAGAGACTGGCCTAATTTCTGTCAGAAGAGGATTTTCTTGTCACACCGTCATCTACAGAAGAGCTCCCAGTTTCCCATATAATGATTTGCTTTTGACACAATAATGTTTAAAAATAAACGTGTCGGATCTCCACCAGCCTTGGGACCCAGGCTCCTGCTTTCCTGTACCGAAGCAGAAGAGGAAGGGATGCCAGGGTGATGCCGGAGCTGCGGATGCTGCGGTGCCGTGGGATGCAGGAACCAAGAGGCAGGGCCCTGTGCTGCAGGGCCATTCCCTGCTGCACCTCAGGATCAGCCCCTCTATCGCAATGCAACCCTGACCTGCTTGGTGAGGGGCAGAATAAATGCATAAAGTTTTGAATTGGCTTCCTAAGAAAAAAACCTAATAGTTTATTCCAACTCTGCAATGTGCTGTATTTATTGAGGCTTAGCCCTGCTGGCCAACATTTTGTACAAGCACTTAAATAGCAGAGAATTAAAGAAAACATTAATCAAATCTCTCATTCCTTACACTACACAGACGATAACAGCCTTCTATGCTTTCCTCTGGCTTTTGGCAGCTGTTTGTTCAGGAAATATCCCATATGTAGTGCTGAGAAGTGAATGCTAGGAAGATTCCTTTTTCATTACTGGGTGCTTGTGTAAGACAAAGGAATCTTAATAAGGAAGAGTTCATTTCGCTGATCTCATTTTTATTACCTTACCAGTCTCATCGTCTGTTTGTTTGCATTTCATATAGCCTGCTCTTTAATATTTCCATCTTAGATTAGCTGAAGCCAAACACAGCTATGACACCAGGATTTGCAATTCACCCCTTCATGACCCCCAGGATGGAGGCAGATTGTCATACTCTTTCCAGGTCTAGGTACAAACTGCTTCTCACAATAGCCACAGTCAGTCCAGTAAGTCATTTTTATTAATCCCCAAGCCTACATACCTGCCCCTTTATTATAAATCCAGTGTACTTCAGCTCAGAAATATGATATTAGCCATAACTTCTGATTTGCTGCCATTCATTTATAATCAGAGCTGGGTTATTTGGACCGAAGACCTGTAAGCAGTACTGAGGAATTACTTCTCTGACGGGTGCTGCGGTGGGGTGCAGGGTCTCAGTGAGCTCTGCCGGCTGCTCTCAGGGCTCCCACCCATCACCTCGCCGCAGGTCCCAGCCCTGCCGACCACCCTTAAATTCTGCCGTGTATAAGCAATTGCCCGCTTCAAACTGCTCTAGCATGCTCGAGGTGTCTGCTACCAGGGGACTTGCTCTTCAGAAAATTAATTCTGGCAATAGTTATTTTACTGTACAAAGCAGGTGAAAGCAGTGGGGACAGATCTCACCAAAATCAGAGCAGGGAGCTTAATACTAATGTCTGCAATGAAATGGCAGTCTGCAAACCCTATCAAACCCTATCGGCTCGTAGCATCTGTCTATGGACCTGCACATGAACAGGGAGCAGGCGGGTGCCACAGCGAGCTGTGCCGAGTGTCAGCCTGGCCACCACCCCAGTTCCAGGTGGAAAATAGTGATGCATGTCCCGATACACCATCCCCAGGAAACCAGTGCAGCAGGGAGGCCCCGAGTCAGGGGCTGCAGGCAGGGGTATCACCGGGGCTGCAGGCAGGGATACCACCAGCCCTGCCCACTGTGGATTCGGCTGGTCGGTCTTTCCCCCCGTGTGCACTGCTGGCTGCCACCTCGTCCCACGGCAATCAGTGCTACAGATCATGCATTATGCAAAAAAGCGTGCTTTTGTTTGTTACAAAGCTATTGTTTTGCAGGTCTTTGCATGCACCTTCCCTAGGTGGGGATGATGCTCTCTGGAGCCGCTTCAGCCCCGCGCTGCTCTGACCCCAGGACTCAAAGCTCCATCTCTGCTCGCCTACAGCTCTCCCGAGCCTCCAAGGAGACCCGATGCCCTTCCCTGTCCCCACCACTTCCCTTCTGAGATGCAGCCACCAGACCCTGATTTACAGGGCTTTTCAAAACTCAACCCATGCAATTGCTTCACACATGAAACACAAAGAAACGGTTTGTCTGTGACCCTGCAGTGCCGGGGACAGCTGTAAAACCATGGGTTTGCCTCTGGGCTGGAGGGTCTGTCTGATGGGCACCTAGGTGAGGTGGCCACGACTGGGGCTGGGCGCCTGGGCACCCACCAAGGCCCGGGCAGCCCTGCCGCCAAGCACCCCAGAGCAGCAGCGGGAGCCGAGCTGAGGCAGTTTGGCTATGCGAGTGCTTGGGCCACTCTCCAACTCCCTCACAGCCCATTAGCATTACCGTCAAAAATTAGCATATTTTATATTAGAACTGTATAAATGCATACTGTTTCCTCAGCAGCGAAAGGCGAGCATATGGCGTACAAATTCTCAAATAGGCTGCATTGCCTCTTTAAATTATCTCTAGAGAACACATCAAGGGATATTATACTGCTTGAAGCATGTTTTTGATGTAGCGACTTTCATCTAGCATTTCACTGATCCTGGTGTGGCAGCGACTACCTTCCTTGATTTGATGTTTTGACCTTAAATACCACAGGTCCCCCCGACCTCCTTTCTGCACGCCCTGAAAGGAGCGCAGCCGAAGCGCCCGCTGTCCCCGGGCCAGCATCTGCAACACCCTGCCATCGATGAGCTGCAGGGGCTTCCCTGTTCCCGAGCAGCTGCTGGCATTGCAGTGGTGCCACCGCGGTGCTCCTCACTGCACCGTGGGATCTGTCACCCATAAAGGGTGACTTTATTTTTTCCACGGGAAAATAAAAGCCAAAGAGAGCATGTGGGAGCCCTTGAGGATACGCAGCAGTTTGGGATGCTCAGCTCTGCTGAGGGAGTTACGGGCTGCACCCGCTGCATGTGTGTCCCCATTTGAGGGGCGACGAGCAGCCACAGCTCCTGGCAGGCAGGAGCTAGGAGAGCAGGCAGCACCTGCCTGCCAGGCTGCAGGGTCGGGCCATGCAGACACTTGTGATGGGAGAGCAGCTGCCAGGGCTGACAGCTCTGCCTGCTGTCCTTGACACCCCGACAGGGCAGGATGCCCACAGCCACCTCTCTGTGCCTGAACGCCGAGAAATCAGCGCTGCCTGCAGCCTATTCCTGCCTCTTGCACTTTTTTTTTAAGTAAAAATACAGGAGGGTTTAAAATACGTTTGTGATAGCTTGCTCCTGCAAGATACTTTTCTACCATCCATGCATCTGCAAGATGCTGGACCTGGCACCAAGCACCTGCAGTTTCCCTGGAGGAAAGCTGTGGCATGCACCTTGTGCAAGGGGAGCAGCCGCATGTCTGTTATCACTGAAGGCGGCTGTGCCCGGGATGGGCTGGGGGTCCCTTACCTCGGGCTGTGGGGGCTGCGGCTGGCCGGGGAGCTGGCACGTGGGGC